CTGCCAGAGGAGGAACAATGATCCATAGTCAGAAAAGTGACTGCAGCTTAAACAGGAACCCTTCTTGTTCAGGACTGTCAGAGCCACAGTTTGCAAAACGTGCAGCTGTTGATTAATGCAATGTCATGTCAATTAGATGTACATCCCTGAGGTCTTTTTTCTGTGGTAGCTTTTCTTTTTCTTTTCATTACATCAGGTACACTGCCCTGTAAATTGTGGTAGTGATACCAGGAATAAAAAATTGAGGAATTTTTAACTTTTCAATATTTGTGTAGTTCACTTTTTCTACATTTTAGTACAGAAACTTTAACAAAATCCAGTTTTGAAGGTGTTTCCTTGTGAGTTAAGAAGATCAGTGCTAATCACTATTTTAGATAAATAGAATTGGATATTTAAATTAGCATATTTTTGTGACTTTAATGACATTAAGATTTACCTTCAAATGAAAAATCTCAAAATAAAAGTAAAATAAAGAGGCTTTTAGCTGTGGAAGTTAAGTTTTTTGTTTAAAAGGGGATAAAGAGAGACCGGGTGGGGGTCAGACAGCCTGATTCAAATCCTGGTGCTCTATCACACTCTAGTTCCCAGGCCATGAGCAAACCATACAACATCTACACTCAGTTTTCTCATCTGAGGAATGGGGATTGCTAATGCTGGTATGTTGTTCAGAGGTTTGTGCGAATTTAACACGCTAATCTGTGTATAGTGTTTACTATGATGCCTGGCATACAGTAAGCACTAAGTAAGAGCCAGCCATTGTTATTCTGTTATCAACCCAGGGTACTTGACTGTACCAAGATTCAGGGAGGAGTGGGTTGAGAAGAAATTAGACAACACTGACTTTCTGCCCCTCTCCTACACCTTAGGTTTTGTTTTTGACAATCATTAGATCTGCTTTTCAGGGAGAGGTGAGGATTGGGAGGAAGAGGAAGGAGATAAGGCCAATGGGCCACCAGATCTCTGAAACTGGGATAATAGAGACTGGTCATCAGTGGTGTCTTGGTTGTTACATTCTGTGCCGAACCGGCACGGCCATGGCATACTCAGCCCCACGTTGGGCCATATGTGCCAAGCCAGCTCAGCCAGACTCGGTGAGCCTGAGAGGGGGCGGTGAAGGATTGAGAAAAGACAGACAAGAGAAGAAAGCTGGGTCTGGGTGGGATGCTGTCCTCTCTGGAGAGCTAGCGACAGCGCCATGGACTACAAGCCGTGTCTTTATTTTATAGCCAGATTCCACGAGGCAAAGTAAGGGCGTGGCCAAGATGTTTCCAACATTCTCGTGTGTTTCGAATCTACTCAATTACATGCACCTGAACTCTATCAAGCCCATATCACTCAGCCACGTGGGACCACAGGTTCAGACCATAGGTTCAAGATTATAACTATAGCCTTTGGCTATAATTGTGCTGGGAGGGCTTTGCCCTCAATGCTAGGACCTGCACATGGCTTTGCCATGAGAGGACTGTGCTGTCTCATAAGTCTGAGGCTTGAACCTGTCCAAACGCTGCGGCTGCTCTCCACAACACTCATTGCTTTCTGACATCTTCCTTCTGTAGCTCTGTTGTAATTTCTGAGTTCTTGTTGGTTAGCCTCCTGAGCCCATTGCATACTGTAGATTTAATCTCCATTCTCAGAGGCAGACACATCCCTGCAAGTTAATGTTGCAACAGAAGGATGCCTTCTTCCCAGGAGCAGGCTGGGTGGAGGAGCTTGCATGTTGCCATTATATCAGCCCTGCAAGGAACATAGTTATTAATTCCATTGTACAGAGGAAGAAACTTGACCAAGGCCACAGATAGCCCAGAGAAAAGGGAGTTCAACCCCCAAATGTTCAACACCAGGGGTCATTCTCTTCCATTAAAGTATGTGGGAGGGTTAAAGGACTGAAACAAGTATCTTTCTGGTGCTCAAAAATGACATGTTGCATGCACTTTGCATAACATCTGAGAAACTCCGTTGACTCAGAGCTGTAAGGCTGGGCCTACCTGGCTTGGAAAAAGAAATATTCCATGGAAGTTCCAACTAATTCTGCTGGACCTCCCAATTCCCAGGAAGCAAAGCACTGGAGGTTGGTTCTGTCTTTGGTCCAGATGGAAGGCTGCAGTTTTTGTCATCAGCAAATCCACCTCCAGCAGTTATAGTTCACTATTGTTCATTTGTTCAGTAGCTTTCAGTCAAGGGGGAGGGAACTAGGTCAGAAGCACAAGGAACTATTTCCGGGCTTTGGCCTTTGGAAAGCAGCCTTATCCTGTTTACACTTTCTCTTCAGATTTGCACAATCTGACCACAGATATGTTGCCTGCCAAGCCCAGGTAAATACAGGCAGCCAAGTACTCTCCAATCAGCCAATGCTATTGGACAACCAAAGACCTCAGAACTCTATACTGTACTACGCAACTGTGATAACTATAGAAGAAAAGAGCAACTCAAGGCTCCTGACCTTGGACTGCTGGAGCAGAAGTGTATTCCTACCTGGTGGAGGAGGCCACGCAGTGCAAGCTCTGAGCTCTTCTCTGGCATGACTCTGGGTCCAGTTACCCCTCCTAGCACCTACCCAGTTACACCCTGAATTGAGGTGTCAGCACTAGGACGAACCCTAATTTACCTTACAAGGGTGAGAGGAGGAAGAAGGAAGTCTCTTATTCAGTAATGAATAGCTGGATGAATCGGGTATCCTTCAGAAAACAAAACTGAAGGGAAAAAGGTGCCCATGTTTGGATCACCTTCTTCAAAGAGGTGAAAAAAGACTGATGCAGGGCAAAAGGTTCTGTGTGTGTCTCTCTCTGTGTGTGTGTGTGTGTGTGTGTGTGTGTGTGTAGGAGCGGGTGGGGAGGTGGAGAAAGAGAGACGGAGTGAGGGAGGTAGAGGAAGAGGGAAATGAAGATGCGGGAGAGGGAGAGATAAGTGAGGGAAGAGGAGGCCTGGTTGCTCTACAGAGCCAAGGAAGGACATCAGTTGGGAGACAGCTCTTGGATCACTCATCTGAAGTGTCACTGCCAAGTCCCCAGCAGCCAAAAAGCCTGGGTCAGCCTGTCCAGAACTGGATCTTCTTCTAATCCTGAAGCCCCAGAATGAAACCATCCACCTTCCACCTCTTTTCCACCAGCTATTTCAGAGACTACCATTTCATATTCTGCCCTCATTCCCAACATTATTTTTGTTTAATATGGTAAGGGGGTGAGGGGACAATGTTGGGAATGGCAAATAGGTAACGTCATGTTGCAGAACGGAGGAAAGAATTTGAGAAGTGGCCCAAACTCCCACCAATAGCTCTGCAACTGAGGTGAGGCTTTTCCCAGCTAGGACTGGACTGGTTGGGTTCAAATAAAATAATGCATATAAACTTGTTGAGCCTAGCCCTGTCCCTTGGGACCAAATAAATATATTTGTTCTTTCTCTGTGGTAGATATTGTCCCTGGGTCGGGGATGAAGGAGGTGAGGGTGTGGGGGGAAGAGGAAGTAACTTCTATATTGAACGTGTACTTTCAATACACGTTCAATATAGCCCCAGGAGCATCACCACGACCACTCCTACCATCCTAGTCCAAGACCTTTTCTCCTCAATGGACTTCCTGCTTCTACCCTTGCCTCCCAGAGTTGACTCTCCACACAGCAGCCAGAGTGATCTTTATAAAAACATAAATTGCATCTTGCCACTCTCCTGTTTAAAACTCTTCAAATGTCCCCATCACACTTAAAAAAAAATATTTTTATTGACTTCAAAGAGGAAGGGAGAGGGAGAGAGAGATAGAAACATCAATGATGAGAGAGAATCATTGATTGGCTGCCTCCAGCACACCCCACACTGGGGTTCGAGCCCACAACTCTGCATGTGCCCTGACTGGGAATCAAACTGTGAGCTCCTGGTTCATAGGTCCACGCTTAACCACTGAGCCACGCCAGCCGGGTCCCCATCACACCTTTAAGAGTAGAATTTAAATACTTTATCATAGGGTATTAGGCCCCAACATGATGGCCTCTGCTGACTTTATCTCCCACGGCTGACTTTATCTCCCACGGCCGCCTTTGCTGCAGTTGCACTGACTTTTGCTTCTAAGCTCATCAAGACTGTTGTTGGGCCTCAGGGCTTTGCACTGGCGATTCCCTCTGCCTGGAATTCCCTCTGTTCTAGGTACCTGTCCCGGAGGTCCTGACTCACCACCTACGCGAAATTAGCCCCGCCCCGTCACTGCATTCCATGGGCTTCATAGCAAATGGTCATGATACGCAGCCAGTCTTGTCTGTCATTTGTGTACTTGCTTACTGTCTGTTTCACCCGCAGCACAGCCCTGAAGGGAAGGTGCTGCATCTATCTGCTCCATCGCGGAATCTCTAGCGCTAAGCAGAGCCTGGCACATAGTAGATCTCCAGCAGTTGTTGCATAAATGATCTTTTCAAATCCTACATCTTGTGTCGTATGCGCAAAAGGGAGCTCCGGCTCAGGACAGAGCTCTGCTCCGTCTGAACACGCGGTCACCTTCCTTCCCAGGACGCGCCAGGCCACCGGGAGCAGCTCCCGACCTTTCTACACACCCGGTGCCCCTCTCCAGGGAGGACGGGCGGGCTTCCAGCCCCTCTCAGAGCCCGGTGCGGCGGCCCGCAAAGTCGTCCCACATTTCAGGGGCTCACAGAAGCCGCCCGTTTCCAAACATGGACCCTGCCTGGTGCCCGAACCCCCTCCCTGAGCCCGCAATCAGGAGCATAGTGTGGGGGATCCCTGGGGGTGTCTATGGTAAAATGGGGCGGGCCCCCTGGTCCACCGGTAGTAACAGTTCAGTGCCCTCACTCTGTTCCTCGTCTCTGGCTCGGGACCCCCCCAGGCCAATGTGGGGGCCAGAGGCAGGCGCCAGGCGTCAAGGGCAATGAGGACAAGCAGGCCCGAATGGGGATGGGCGAGTTTCGCGCAGCAGAACCGTTCTTCACCGAGGCCTGGTTTCCGGCCGGTCCGCTTTGGAAGAGACACCGCACTTAACCGTCTCTCGCGCTCGCACCTCCCCCTCCCGGCCCAGTCTGCAGAGGCTCGCCTTCCTCTCCGCCCGCAGGTCGGGGCTGCTGCCGCGGGCGCGTTCCGCATCGCTCCGGGGGCCCCAGGCGTGGAGCTCCGAAGCCATCGACAGCTTCTGGCCCTTCTGAGCTGCGGTGGGCGAGGGCCCGCGCGTTTCCTCCAGCTGGGGAGGTCGGAGAGCGGAGGCGGAGGCAGTTTCAGGCCTTAGGCCCCGCGGGCCGGGTCCAGTGAGACGCGCCCATCCTTCGCCGAACCGGGCGCGCGCGGGCCTCTTGGGACCTCACCGGCGACCCGTAGTTCGGACACGCGCTTGCCGCAGGCCGCAGGAAGGAGGGGTCCAGTCTGAGGCCTGGGGCGACGGCCGCTATGGAGATCACCTCGGCCCAGGGCCCGCGCCAGGAGCCTTGGGGGCGGCCCTGACCGCCCTCCTCCCTGCCGGGGCCGGGTCGCGGACGTGCCCCCCGCGGCCGCCCGCCACCTCTGCCTCTCCGGCCTCCCCGGGCCGCGCTGCTGCCTGGGCGCGGCGGCGGCGGCGGCGCCCTGTTGAATGGGCTGTGCGGGCCCAGGTTTGTAGCGCTGGCGAACGCGGCCTCCGGGGGCGCAAGGCAACAGCAGCGGTGGCGACCAAACGGGTGTTGGAGTTGGCGGCGGCCATGGAGGGCCTGGCTGGCTATGTATACAAGGCGGCCAGCGAGGGCAAGGTGCTGACCCTAGCCGCCTTGCTCCTCAACCGGTCTGAAAGCGACATCCGCTATCTGCTGGGCTATGTCAGCCAGCAGGGAGGGCAGCGCTCTACGCCCCTGATCATCGCAGCCCGCAATGGCCACGCCAAGGTGGTGCGCTTGCTGCTGGAACATTACCGGGTGCAGACCCAGCAGACTGGCACCGTCCGCTTCGACGGGTAGGTACTGCCCACCTCCGGCCTCCTCTCCTAGGCGCGCGGACCGGCCCGGCCGATTCTTGGTCCCTCCCCTCCCCCACGCTTTTCATGGAGGTATCACTTGTCCCTTTTTGTGCCTCCTTCCGCCCCATTCATGCCCACTTCACCTTCCAGGGCTAATACTCCATCCCATGTTTTGCTGCTCATCCTCATCGGCCCCAGCATCTTATTTCCTCTGCAGGTAAAGAGCCACGCCCTCTGTTTTGATGTCTAATAGTTGATTCTTTTATGGATAGTCTGTGAGCAGGCAGTATGAAGGAGGTGGCTGCCTTTTCAGGTTTTGCCTTGATCAGTACCGAGGTTGTAACCTCGAAATGAACGAGGTCAGCAGTTAACATGGAAGACCTCTGATGAGTTATTCGGCCAGTTTTTACCCCTTCAAGTTAGTGGGCCTGTGAAGCCCTCAGTGGCTTTGCGGGGGCCTTCGTGTCAAAACAAGCCCCTGGAGCCAGCAGGAGCACGGCTTCCTGAGGGCTTGGTCTTGCAGACATCCCCAGACATGACTGACTTCCCCATTGCAGGGGGTAGATACATTGGCTGTAAAAATGGCACTGAGCTGGGAGTAGGAGATGATGCCATGGCATCATGGTGAGATTACGTGTTATCCGGTGATATTGTGGGGAAGCTTTATAATTTACTGTTTTTCGTGGTGGGGAGTTCATATTGTCAAAGTTAAAACTTGCCCTTTGGGTTTAATTGTACCTTTTTGGGGGTATGCTAATGTTGAACAGACAATTGTCAGGTTTGACATTATTCCCTTTTCTGTGCTGGATGGTTATAAAGTGTTTTACAGATTACAAGTGCATAAGGATTTTGCTTCATTGATTACATTTGTTTTTGTTGACTTGTGCCAGAACTTAAGCTGTTTTAATATTTTCTTTTGAGGTAGGTGTAGTCCAAGCATAAAGATAACGTATTTCTCGTTTTGGTGATTGAAAACTGCTTGGTTAAAACATGATTAAAAAATCACTTCTTGAAGATAACTAGGGCATTGTTGAATTTTGATTGATTCTTTTTTAGGTTTAAATAAATAAAGGCCTTTCCTTCTGTTTTAGATGAGAGGAAGATATTTGAGAGTATTACATTTTAATGCAATGATAGCCCATGGGTGGTGGTTAATCTCTGCTACTACCTATCTAGACATTAAGGAAATGATTTTTTTCATGTTAACCAGAGATGGCAACCTGATTCATGTTTGCTTTCCCTACTGGCTTCTGTAACTCCCTGCATTCCCAAAGCCTTTCCTGTAGCCAGAGGAGTGAAGCAGATAAACCCTGAACTTCCTGCACCATTCCAGTTGTACAGGCACAGGCATCCACTGAGAGAAGACTGCAAAAACAGTCCTTGGGAACAGTGCTGCTAGTGAGCTGGCTAAGGCCTGTTTGGATGGGGGAAGAATAGTGGGGAGAAAACATAGTTTCCTAAAGCATTTGGAAAGGCTTTGCTTTACCACTGTCTTTCTTAACCATCAAAGAGAAAGTTATTTTGAGATGGCAAAAAAGACCCTGCAATGATTAGAAATTGAGCCTATTTTGTGGCTTACCTTGCCCAGTAATCTGCACTGGCCTGTGAAATTAAGGGGTTCAGTGAGCAAACATTTACTGAACACCTACTGTGTGCCAGGCTCTGTGGTATTAATTGGGTAGGCAGAGATGAATAACATACTGTTCCCACTGTGGAGGAAGACAGTCTAGCAGGAGGGGGAGAGAAATAGATATATCAATGAGTAATTGCAGATGCTATGCCATTTAGAAATCTTTTGGACTGCTGAGGCGCACAGGAAGAGGAGGCGCTCAGCTTTGTCTGGGGGAATCAGGGAAGGCTTCATAGCCAGGTGATGCTTGAGCTGAGTCTTAAAAGGATCGTAGGAAGTGAAGAAGAGGGTCAGCAGCATAATGTATTTGCAGTGACAAGTGTTTCAGTGCAGTTGCAGGAAGGGATTCAAGCCAAGGAAATTAAGACTGAGATTGTGGGAGACAAGAGGGGTGGAGGCCAGTTTTGATGATCCTTGTGTAAAGTATCAAGAGTCAGACCGGTGAGACTCAAGCCCCAAACATTTCTATCATTTGTGATTTCCTCTGAGCCTTCTTGAAGCTTTTTTGTTTATGGATTATTACAGTTATGAATTTATTAATGGCTATGATAAAATAGTTTAGTATTTATTTTATTTATTAAATGCCTATGATGGGCCCAGCCCTGTGCCACATTCTGTGGAAGATTCAGAAAAAATGTAAAGTTCCTACTTTTGACTAATTAACAAAGGAGAATTGAAGTTTATGGCCACTTTTCTGCCCACTCACAGGACTCGGAGATTATTGTGCAGCTTATCCCGGTCATTGTAGCATTTCAGAACTAGATAAAGAGAGTGTTATAGTAAATGTGATGATTTTACTTTGCGCTCATTCCAGACCTTGTGAAAATGTTAGCCTGAGGTGTTCACAGTATGAAGCTCACTCATCCCTTAGGGGCTGGCTTTTTGAGGTACTTAGTCCAACTCCCATTTTTATTTATTTTTGCCTATTTTTTTAAATTGAATTTATTGGTGTGACATTGGTTAATAAAATTGTATAGGTTTCAGGTGTACAATTCTATAATACATCATCTGTATATTGTTGAGTGGTCACCACCTCAAATCAAGTCTCCTTCCATCTCCATTTATTGCTTCTTTACCCTCTTTTGTCTCCCCCTATCCCCTTTCCCTGTGGTAATTACCATACTGTTGCCTGTGTCTATGAAGTGTTTTTTCTTTTCTTAATCCCTTCACCTTTTTCACCTGTGGTACATTTATACAATAGAATATACTATCCGGCCGTGAAAAAGGAAATCTTACCCTTTGTGACAACATGGATGAACCTGGAGAGTATTATGCTAAGTGAAATAAGCCAGTCAGAAAAAGACAAGTACCATATGATTTCACTTATGTGTGGAATCTAATGAACAAAATAAACTAACAAACAGAATAGAAACAGACTCAGAGACAAATAACAAACTTACAGCTGTGTGTGTGTGTGTGTGTGTGTGTGTGTGTGTGCGTGCGCGCGCGCGGGGGGGTGTTTTGGGGTTTGGGTGAAAAAGGTGAAGGGATTAAGCCAAATCCCCATCTTTACAGTCCATTGACATTTGAGATGCATGGCCAGGGGGAACAAATAGTGTTTCCCAACTTTTAGTTACTTGTTTATCATCTTCATAATTTTTTTGCCAAATTGTTTACCACCTCTTCTATTTGCCTAATATTAAAAACAAAACAAAACACAGTCTCACTTCTTAGCTTTATCCTAAGCAATAGTATCAGTATAATTATGGGCTTGACATTGTATGTTTTGTGTGTGTGTGTGAGAGAGAGAATTAAATAACATTAAAAATGTAAAGAAAAGGTCTATGTTCTGTCTAAAAGCTTTTATAATACCGTAGGAAACAAAAGTAGATTCACCATAGAGCTTCAGCAGGGAAGGATTACCCATCCAGGTGAAGTTCCATGATGATACTTGAGTCCCTGTTCATATACTGTATTTAGGAGTAACATTTGAAATTGTTTTACTTATGGCTTACTGTGTGAAGGCTAAAATGGACACAGATGAGTGGATAAGAAGAAAAGTTACATGAGTGGGAATGAAAGAACCTTTAGTTGGCGAATGGGAAGATGTTAAGAATGTTACAGAAATGGAAACAGAACAAAGACTAGGTGTCATGTGACCACGCAATTGGCTTGAGTGCTCAGGGCCTGACTGCTCTGTGCCAGAATTTGTAGGAACCCCTATAACTAGGAGAGGTTTGCTGACATAGATGGGAAGGAGAACAGGACCTCTGGGAATTCTGAGGCTTTTTGTTGAACGCTTTTACTTTTAAAGACAGTGCTACTGCCCTAGCTGGTTTGGCTCAGTGGATAGAGCATCTATCAGCCTGTGGACCAAAGGGTCCCGAGTTCTATTCCACTCAAGGGCACGCACCTCGGTTGCAGGCTCCTGGCCCTGGTCGAGGGGGCATGTGGGAGGCAACCAATTGATGTGTTTCTCTCACATCGATGTTTCTCTCCGTCTTTCCCTCTCCCTTTCACTCTCTCTAAAAATCAATGGAAAAATATCCTTAGGTGAGGATTAAAAAAAAATAGCAAAGGAGTGAGGAATAAGATATCCTATGAGAAGAAACTAAATGAGATGAATGACAAAAAAAAAAAAAAGACTGTGCTACTACTCACATTTTTAATGAATGTCCAGGTAGAGGAAAGGCATGAGAGTCACATCATTTGACTTCATTAAGAAGTCATTGCCAGTATATATTTCCAGGAGCTATGTTTGATCTAATAAATGATTTTAAGGACTTTGGTTAGGATAAAGTGCTGATTATTTACATTTAATGAGTTTTTATTTCCATTTCAAATGCTTGAACCAGACATTTTTTATTTCAAATTGAACCAGAAAATAGTTAAGCTTAGTTTTATGAACAGAAATGTTATCTTTTATTGTGAAGTGTTTCCATCATCTGATGTATACATTTTGTATAAAAAAGTGAATATCAGATTATAGTTTATTGATTTTTAAATATGAAATAATAGAAAGTTGCATTGCAGTTTTGGACTGAGTCTAGAAAGATCATGGTTTTATAGAGTGCTTCTCCTATAGGCACTAAATAAATATTGCATTAATTTTATTATATTTTTATTTTCTGTTATTAATGTGTTTAGTATTTTGTTTGAGGCAGTGTATGCTTATAATTTTAGCTGGATTTTATGGAAAAAGGAATGTCATAGATGTTAGGATTATAATTCTTTTTAATATCTTTAATATTTTTGTTTATATGTAGAAATTAAAATTTTACTACAGCTAATGTTTCTGGAGGACTAGTCATTTTATAATACACCAGAGGTCCGATGCATGAAATTCATGCATGAGTAGGCCTTCGCAGCCTCAGTGGCTGACTCGATCCCTCCCTTGATCCCTGACAGCCACGGCTTCATCTGGAAG